AACTTTGACAAATCCAAGTAATGGATACCTTGTCGATGATAGTTGTGTATTTGGAGCGGAGGTTTTTGTTGTCAAGAACAAAGGAATTAGAGAGTGCATGTCTATCTTGAAAGTAACTAATTCCTTTAAGCATGAACTGAAGATTTCAAAATTTTCAGAATTGGAAAATGAATGGAATTCTGAAGAGTTCAATGCTGGGGATCATAAATGGTACATCTCTATGTGATTTTCTTCTGCAATGATACATCTTTCCTTTACTAGACCTCTCGATTCCAATATTTTTTGTTTTTTTTTTTTTGTTGGTAATTTTAGGAAGGTTAGTGTATATCCAAAAGGTAGTGGAAAACGAAAGGGAAGTCATGTTTCCATTTTCTTGCATAAAGTAGGATTTTCCTCAGGTGAAAAAGTTAAGGCTGATTACTCCATATGCATAAAGAACCAGTATGGAAATGGCAATCGCAAGCATCTCTGTAAGATGACAACTTTCTTCTGTTACTGAACTTTATGTTACTAATGTTATCATGATATTTGAATTCAATATCTTTGCAGTCAATCACTTGTTTTCGGCTTCTAGCAGCAGTTGGGGAAGACGTAGTTTCATTCCAATCGCTGATATGAAACAACCAGGATTTTTAGTTGAAGATCTCTGCATTATTGAAGTTGAAATTTCTATTCAAGCTGTCTTCTGGAATAAAATTGGATTTAAAATGTAATGTTGCGTGCTTTTTTTTCATTATTATTACGTGTATCTAGATTGTTTATTAACGCTATATTTATTGTTTAATTAATATAATTATCCTCGTCATGACTAAGTATATTTATTACATGTGACTTGATGCTCTAGACGATCGATGTGTCCATGAATTTAAATTTAATAAATTTATAATTTTAGCGAATTAAATTTTTATTTTATTATGTGTTTTTAACATGTTTTGTTTTTAGATTTAGCCTAGACATTGAGTTGAAAATTTTATTACTTAAAAAGAATATTTTGGGGTAAATTAATTCAAAAATAAAAATTGGACAACAGAAATAAAGATCAATAAACTAATGGGACCAATTTAAGACTCAAATAAATTATTAGAATAAATAATGGGTCTTATTAGTTAAACCATATAATATGCATAATTAGATCATTAACCTTCTTACCCGTTTACTCATTTCTTTCCCTTTTTTACCAAAAAAAAAGGTCCTTCATATTATAGCACATACAGTAATTCGTCTTCTACAATTGAAGAATATTTGTTAACCTTCTTTTTGGAGTTAAATGTTTCAATAGTCAAATCAACTTATATCTCCGTCATATTTTACACTTTGAATTTTAAAATGTCTTCTAATGGTCGCTAAACTTTAACATGTTGCATTCTATTACTCATTCATCTTGTTTCATAAGTCATTGAACTTTAAAATGCTATTGAATGGTCATTGAACTTTAACACGTCGTACTCCATTACACACCCACAATGTTTTATTAGTAATTGAATTTGTACATCCGTCACGCTTTACTTGCTGAACTTAAAAATATTTTAGAGTGATCACTGAACTTCATAATGTTTTGAGTAAAGTTGATTTTCTATGAGATTCGACTTGTATCAAAAAATAAAATAAAATAAATATTGAATAGATAATGAGACTCTCGAATTTAAGACAAGAATATTGATATTAGTCAAGAATATATAACTTCTCTAGTCGTCGAAAGCTATATTTAAGGGGATAAAAGAATGCTAGTTTCAAATTGACATAAATCTTAATTTAGATTATAATCTTCCTTTATTTTGAGAAAATAAAAAAAGAAATTATTTCTCTATTTCGATTGATATCGTAGACCAAAATCAAGAAAATAAATAATTATATCTCGAACAGACGGTGAAATTTTGGATCCAGAGCTAATAATATTAATCAAGACTAAAAAAATATAATTGTTAGAGTTGTTACAAGATAATTCAAGAGGAAAGAATGACGTCGTCTTCGTGTATATTATTTTATACTTCAAAAATTTCAATTTTTGAACAGTTGAATTCAATGAATAAAGTCCAGTGACCATTAGAAATCATTTTAGAGTTTAGTGAGTAAAGTGTGATGGAGGCATAAGTTGAATGGCTAATGGAAAAGGATGAATGATTGATAGAGTACAACATGTTAAATTTAAGTGAATATTCAAAAGCATTTGAAAAGTTCAATGGCAAATAAAACATGGTGAATGAATGATGGAGTGTAATATGTTAGAATTCTATAATTACTCGAAAACATTTTAAAGTTCAGTGAATAAAGC